GGTACAGCTCCAGCTGTTGTGGCCAACTGGGGAGTGAACCAGCGGATGGAAGACCTCTATCTTTCTCTCTGGTATCTCCTTCTCTCTGTGTGTAATTCTGACTTTCAAATAAATAAATAAATAAATCTTAAAAAGAGTATTATGTGAGACAAAGTGGAGGAGGCAGGAGCCAAGTTATGAAAGCTAACCTACAGAACTTATACATCACCTTAGAGATGCTGCACCATCAATTCCTTTTGGGAAAACAGTATTATAAAAGAATGAGATGAATGACCCATTCTTGAAGGGTGAGATCAGATGAATGTGCATTTTTTTTTTTTTTACTTTTTTTTTTTTTTTTTTTTTTTTTGACAGGCAGAGTGGACAGTGAGAGAGAGAGACAGAGAGAAAGGTCTTCCTTTGCCGTTGGTTCACCCTCCAATGGCCACTGTGGCCGGCGCATCGCGCTGATCCAAAGCCAGGAGCCAGGTGCTTCTCCTGGTGTCCCATGCGGGTGCAGGGCCCAAGGACTTGGGCCATCCTCCACTGTCTTCCTGGGCCACAGCAGAGAGCTGCCCTGGAAGAGAGGCAACCGGGACAGAATCCGGCGCCCCGACTGGGACTAGAACCCGGTGTACCGGCACCGCAGGTGGAGGATTAGCCTATTGAGCCGTGGCACTGGCCAGATGAGTGTGCATTTACCCCATGTATGTATAAGGCAAACTGATGAACAGAACAAGAGAACCAACCAAAGACTATCTATCACTGTTTATGTGAATTCACCCCTTTATCCCAAATCAAAATATCATCAAATGTTCAAAAAGTTTTGATCAACTACACATAAAAGTATGGTATATACCTCTGTTACATTCTCAAAATTATTTATAAATTATTTATAAATACCAAATAAGATAACCACCAAAAACCACAAATTAAGTTTTCCATTTAAAATCTGAGAGGATGGTTGATTGATTTCACCAGCTAATCAGGATTAGAACTGATGTTAGGAAAATGATGCAGTTTTATCTATGGCTCGATCTACGCCCTGATTTACATCCCAGGTCCTAGCCCCCACCACCATTGCTGGAAGCCAGGTAGCCACATGGCCCAACTACCTGTGCTAATCCTAATGGGATTTGCTGCTCCTGCTTTCCCTGCCTGCCCTCGGGCAAAGTTTTAAAAGGGCCTGTTCCTGAACACATGGCTCTCTTGGCTCCTCTTGGCTGCTCTCCTCTCCTCCTCTCCGTCTCTCTGCTCTATCTTCTCTCCTCACTAGCTCTTCTCCTCTGCCTCTCTCTCTCTCTCTTATACTCTCTTTCTCTCTCCTATCCTCCTTTGTCCCTCCCCTACAGTCGGCTGGGTTTTCCCCAATAAACCCTTTCCCTTACTCCAGTGTTTGGTGTGTTTTGTGACGGCCTAACAGAAATATATAACAACTGAGAATAGGTATAGGTAATGCTTCCACTAATTTTTGCTATTTCTCCTACAGAAACCTGAGAAAAGTAAGGTATAAAAAGAAAAGTGAAATAAAAGAGTTAAAACTTCTAAAATATTTAAGAAGGTTAAACCACAATCTTGATTTTGGCACTGAGTATTTCCTGGTTAAAAGTAATCTCCTTTCCCAAATGTGTTTTCCTGTTCAATTGTCATTACTTAAAACTATAAAAATGCACAAGACAAGTTGGCAAGCAACTCTGGGATCTTGGGAGTGATAGAAGACACTTTTCTGTCTAGACAACAAGAAGCAAAATCAAAAGAAACGAAATTCAAAAGTCCTGCCAAGAACCAATATGGAATTAACAGAATTTCCACAGGTTGCCCTACCATTCCAAAAAAAGCAACCTTTTATTTAGTAAAGCAACACAGAAACTTTCAATCCATTGAGTCTGTAAAAAATAAAGAAAATACAGAATATAGTACTGTATTTAAAGAACAGAAACTCAAATAAATTCTTTCTCATTATCCTAAGGGCATATGAAGAATGAAACATAATTAAGGTCAATTAAACTATTTCACTCAAACCTTTACACTAGAAATGTACTGCTAATGAGCTCATCCCATGAAATTCAACTGACTGTCACGTTCTGATGATTTGGGCTCATCTGAAAAGGTGCCAAATGAAACATTTTGAATATGTAATTAGTGAAACAGACAGTCATTTAATTATTCATATAATTAAAAAGTTTTCTACTTTAAAAAGTGGTAATACATGAAGAATGTTTATTTAACTAATGACACTCAATTTGATGGCTGACTACCTCTAAGATTAACCTGAATCCAAGCTTCCTAAGGGGCTTAGGGCTATACAGTTAAGTGAGGCTTAGCTCCAGTCATTTTACAAACGCAGCTTTACATCAAAGTAGAACACTACCTTTTTAATGGCTTTTAGCTTACAGTGAACCAAATGTCCAAATTCTGAAATCTGGAATTCAAAAGTGAGATCAAAGGTACGAAGCTGAATTATGACTACATAAAAAGGAACAACCTAGAACTCCACATAAAATGAAACAAGGAAACCTTGAAGAATTCGATGGTTGTCAATTTGTACATATTTGGCTAAGAATGTCAAGTTATCAATTACAACTGTTATTACACATATAAAGTGATTTATTGAGAAGATAGTAAATAAAGACAAATATTAGAAACACTTTTCTGAAGCCAGTACTGTGGCATAGTGGATAAAGTGTCTGCCTGCAGCACTGATATCCATTAAGGGTGCTGGTTCAAGTTCTGCCTGCTCTACTTCTGATCCAGCTACCTGCTAATTCACCCAGGAAAGCAGCAGATGGTCCAAGTGTTTGGACCCCTGCACCTATGTGGGAGCCCTGGAAGAAGTTCCTGGCTCCTGGCTTCGAATCAGTCCCGCTCCAGCCAAAGCAGCTATTTGGGGAGTGAACCAGTAGATGGAAGATCTCTTTCTCTCTGTCTCTCCCTCTCTCCTTCTAACTCTGCCTTTCAAATAAATAAATAAATTTTAATATCAATTTTTTTCTTGGAATATCTTAAGAATTTTTAATAGATCAACACATTTTTAATAAAGTGACACATTTTTGCATGAAGCATGAAGGACTTCTTTATAGCTTCCAGAATGGACAGGTTGGTGCTTTTGTAGGCATTTTTATTCCAAAAATCCCAAATTCTAAGGAATACTACAAAGCAGTTAAAAAAAAATCCTTTCAGGCCGGCGCCGCGGCTCACTAGGCTAATCCTCCGCCTTGTGGCGCCGGCACACCGGGTTCTAGTCCCGGTCGGGGCACCGGATTCTGTCCCGGTTGCCCCTCTTCCAGGCCAGCCCTCTGCTGTGGCCAGGGAGTGCAGTGGAGGATGGCCCAGGTGCTTGGGCCCTGCACCCCATGGGAGACCAGGAGAAGCACCTGGCTCCTGGCTCCTGCCATCAGATCAGCGCGGTGCACTGGCCGCAGCGCGCCGGCCGCGGCGGCCATTGGAGGGTGAACCAACGGCAAAGGAAGACCTTTCTCTCTGTCTCTCTCTCTCTCACTGTCCACTCTGCCTGTCAAAAAAAAAAAAAAAAAATCCTTTCATTTGCAAGAAAACGGATGCAACTGGAAACCATATTTAGTGAAATAAGCCAGTCACAAAAAGACAAATACCGTATAGTCTCTCTGATCTGTAGTAATGAACAGAGTACCTAAAATGTAATCTACAGGAGTGAAACTGTCTCTTCAAGATATGCTTTCAACAGCCCTTGCCTTGACTGTTTTGTTCTTCATATTCATGGGTGAACTCTCCTAATGCAGGGTTGATTTTATGAATATAAAAATTAACTGAAAAACTGATCTCGGTTAAAAAAAAAAAGAATGGGAAAAGAAGAGGAAGGAGGAAGAAAGGCAAGAGTATGGGGTGGAAAGGAGGTGGAGGGGACGAATCATCTTGTTGCCAAATCTGCATATATTAAAAGCATAAAGGGGAAAAAAAACAAATTCACTGAGCGAATATTAAAATTACTAAAGGGAGTGGGTAAGGCACCATGATCCAAACCAGAAGACCTGGGTTTAAGTCTCAGCACCTGCTCCTGTTGATACAGATCATGGGAGGGAGAAGTGATGGCTCAAAGAATTGAGTCCCTGCCATCAACACAGGAGTAGACTTCCAGCTCTTGGCTTCAGCATGGATAATCTTGACTGTTGTGGTCGTTTGGGGAGTGAACCAATATGAGAGATTTCTATCTCCGAAATAAATAAATGCTTAAAAGTTCTCAAATAAGTTGCTGTATGAAATGGGAAAATCAAAAATGCTACATGGAGGTAATCACAGACTTCATTGGATTTTGGTATGGAAGGAGATACTCATTTTCACATGTTGCTGAAATTAATCATTTACCAAGGGGCTTTTTTTCTATGAAAGTTATTCACTCATTCAACAAATACTGACTGGGTATCTATGTGCTACTTATGTGCTAAATACTAAAAATAAAACTCTGCTCTCACAGAACACAAAACTTACTACAACTAATGACCCAGCTACACTTTTTACCTAAAAATTTAATATTTTAAAAGAAATGAGCATAATTGACAATTATTTTTCATTTGCTTTTTAAAATCACTGTTTATTTCAATATTATTATCATTTCTCATGATAAAGATCTTCACAGGTAAGAAATAAACTTGTAGAAAGTAAAAAGACTAAAGTAAAAATGAGTTTCTTAAGCTATTTCTATCATATGATTATAAATTAGAACAACCTTTCTGGGGGAAAAAACAGTATGTTCACAGCTTTTTTAAAAAATCACATATTTTAGACTGGTAATTCCACTTCTAGGAATCATAAATGTAAAGATTTGGACAAAAATACCTTTATACTACTATGGAAAAACAGAATAAAGCCTGAATATTTGAAAACATAAGATGGATAAAACAATTACAGTATATCCATATAAAAAACATGATGTAATCATTTTAAAAGTTTGATAATAAACTTTTAAGTAAAATATTTAGGGATCAGGCATTTGCCTTAACAGCTAAGTCACTGGTTGGAGTGCCCCATGTCCCACATCAGAGTACCTGGATTTGATTCCTGGCTCTGGCTCCTGATTCCAGCTTCCTGCTCATGCAGTCCCTGGGAAGCAGCGATGATGGCTTGAGTGGCTGTGTTCTTGCCACCCATGTGGGAGACCTGGATTGAGTTCCTGGCTTCCTGCTTCGGCCCCTTGGCTGTTTGGAGCATTTGGGGAGTGTACCATCAGATGGGAGCTCTCTCTCTTTCTGTCTATCTGTTTGTGTCACTCTCTGTCTCTCTGCCTCTCAAATAAATACATAAGTTAAAAAAAGTATATCAAACTATAAATCTTAACTATATTAAAATACAAATTTAAACAAAAATAAAGGAATTAGAATTATAACAAAATACTAACAACTGTTATCTTTTAGTAAGAAAACTGAAATTCTACAATGAAATTAGTATATTTTTAGATTCTAAGGATTTCTACAGTGAACAAATTTGAATGTAATGTCATGATAATCAGCAATTCAGAAATAGCAGTAAAAGGAAACATTACATTTAAATAAATAGTTAACACCGAGCTCTCCTAAAATTAACATAGTATTTTAATTGGCAACACTTCTTAGAATTTTTTTTGCAAAATTAAATATAACTAGGCAAGTGTGATTAGAAGTTTTAATCTACATGCTAAGATCTCTTCTAAAAGAGGCTGAATGCTCAATTTACTGTTTCAAGGCTCACAATTATCTAGCCACTTGAAATGGGTTTTCTATAGCAAAAAGGTAGAAAATCCTATGCAGAAATAACCAGGGGATACTTTTATAGTTATAATAGCCAGAAATCAGGTAACTGACTAAATTTTCGGAATTCACCATAAAAATGTTGACTTCTTAGGAAACTTTTTACAATCTGAAGCAAGTATAAAAATAATGAGAGAAAGTACTAAAGTGCTAATCACGGCAAGCTCATAAGTAACATCACAGTACACCATGACCTGCAGCCAAATAATAAAGTGTCAAATGGAAAATGGCTCAAGTCCATGGATTGTACGTACTATGTCAAAAGAAAAGGGGAGAAAAATCTTTGATTAGAGCAATAAAAAATGCAGTTATAGTATCAGTCCCTATTTGAATAAATCTCTTTGCAATTCCAAGAGTAGAAACTGTTTAAACAAATTCCTCATTGGCAGGACCTTTAAATTTAATATTTTACCATATGTTCCTTTAAGTCCTAAATGTTTTAAACTCTAAAGTATTTCTCATCAGTGTTAACTGGTTTATAATTATCTACTAAAATTCTCACCATGTGGCAATTGATGACTTAAATCTACTATACTACGCAACAGTAGCCAAAAACCAGACAAATATTGCAAGTCAAAATATTCGTACCACAGCAGGTAACTGGCCTAAGGGTTAAGATTCCTGCATTCCATATGGGAATACGTAGGTTTGAAGCCCACCTCTAGCTCCCTAATCTAGCTTCCTGTTAATGCAGACAGATCATGGGAGGCAGCAGTGACAGGTGAAGTAATTGTGTTCCTGACACCAACCTTAGAGATCTAGGTGAGTTCCCAACTCCCAGCTTTGGTCCTGGCTGTTGCTGGACTTCTGGGGCACAAACCAGTGGGTGGGAATGCACCCTCTGTCTTCCTTTCTATGTTTCTCAAATAAATAAAAAAAAAAAAATTCCCAAGTTTTCATACCAATGTGCCCAAACTTTAGACCATAAATTCCTGAGAAATGAAGTTTCTACTAATTCAATATCAATTATATATTATTCCATAATTCAATTCATCAAATCATTTACACTAAATTAGCATGGTCTGCTATAAAGCTCTTGAAAAATACCAAAATTAAACTGTAGGTTCAATAACAAAGTTGAAAATTTTTCAAAAAGAATTCAAAGCCACAATAAGAAGCATAAACCATCAGCAAGTTCTTAGGGGATGCTCTGACTTCTAGCGCACTATTTCTCAGTCTAAATTTACAAAACCACTGTTTTGCATAAAAAGTTAACAAGTATATGCATCCTAAATTTGTTATCTTATTATTCCAAAAATTTAGTGACAAAAAGCAACAGACAATAATTATTTCTGACAAGTCTGCAGATTAAGTGGGTGATTCTTCTGCTCTGGGCAAAATTTCAGTTAGGATGGTATAGTCTCACATGGCATCACATGTCTGCTGATTAGTAGGATGAGTGACCTCAGGCAATCTCAGATAGGAGGCCTGCTCTATGTGGTCTCTCATCCTATAGGGAGCTAGGAGTACAGATTTTTCAACATAGCTAATGAAGAATTACAAAGAGCAGCAAGCTCCAAACACTGTCAAGCCGATTTGCATTATGACTGCTAATATCACATTGGCCAAAAAAAGTTCTATAGTCAGACACAGATTCAAAGGCTAGAGAAATTGACTTCTTTGCTTTTACAGTTAGAGTATAAGTCACATTGCAAATGGGAAAACACACAGTGATGGGAATGATTTGGCATCACTTTTTACAATCATCAGTACTAGAAAATGCAACTCTACTCCCCATGGTCTATGGACAAATTCTATAACAGTTCCTTTGTTTTTAATCACTTCATATTGTACATTAATATATTAAGGGACTCCAAGAAGTCCAGTAGCAAGGAAATGCAATCGATTTTATTTAAACTTATTTGAAGACAAGACACATTTTTCAAGAAACATGGTCACTTTTAAAAGTGAAAACAGATCCCTGCTTTCTCACCATAAAATTTCACATAGTCTGTTCCAGTGATTTAGTGGTTTTTTTTATTCTTATTCTTTTTTTTTTTAATGGCAGACAACAATTAAAAACATTAGTTAATGGGCCAAGAAAACTGTAGATATTGAAATACCTTGGGGCCAGCATTGTGGCGTAGAGGGTAAAGCTGCCACCTGTGATGCTGGCATCCCAAACGAGTGCCAGTTCCTGTCCCAGCTGCTCCACTTCCAATCCAGCTCCCTGCTAATGGTCTGGGAAAAGCAGCAGAGGATGGCCCAACTGTTTGGGCCCCTGCAACCCACATGGGAGACCTGGTTGCAGCTTCTGGTTTCAGCGTGGTCTATTCCCAGCCGTTGAGGCCAACTAGGGAGTGAACCAGTGGATGGAAGATCTCCCTCTCCACCACCCCCACCCCAGCTTCTACCTCTGTACCAATTGCTAAAATCAGGCACCAACCTCATCCTAGTGCCAAGCCTATTCCCTACAGACTCAGAAAACAATCAGCAGTAGAAAGTCCTTATCTACAATAATTGCTTAAAAAAAAAACTATTTATTTATTTGAAAAGCAGAGTTACAGAGTCAGAGAGACAGAGATCTTGCATCTACTAGTTCGCTTCCAAATGACTGCAACAGCCACAGCTGGGCTAATCTGAAGATAGGGGCTTCTTCAGGGTCTCCGACATGGGTGCAGGGGCACAAGGACTTGGGCAATCTTCTGCTGCTTTCCCAGGCACATTAACAGGGAACTGAATCTGAAGTAGAACAGCCAGGAATTGAATGGGCACCCATAGCAGATGCCGGAGTCACATGTGGTGGCTTTACCTGCTATGCCACAACACAGGCTTCTATAGTAATTACTTTAAATGTAAATGGAAAAAATTATCTAATCAAAAGACACATAATAGCTTTTTTTTAATATCCAAATTATTCTGTGTAGAAGAGACTCACTTCATCTTTAGGAACATGTATAAAGGGAAAATAAAGAGAAAAACAAAGATATTTCATGCAGTTTTTAGCCGAAAATGAACACAGGGCTAAATTTATATCAAATCAAATCAAAACTGTCATAGGACAGGCATTTAGCCTAATAGTTAAGATGCTGGTTAACATGCCTGCATTACAAGTGTGAGTGTTTAGATTCAATTCCTAGCATTGTTTCCTGACGTCAACTTCCTGCTAATATAAACTCTGAGAAACAGGGGTGATGGTCCAAGTAACTGCAATCTTATCACCCATATGGACTCCTGGTTTCAGTGTGGTCCAACCCCAGTGGTTGCAGGTATTTGGGGAGTGAACCAGTAGAGGGGCTTATTCTCTTATGCATGCATTCTTTTTCTGTCAGTCTCCATCTCTCATTCTGCCTCTCAAATAAAAACAAATAAATTAAACTGTCTCAAGAGTCCAATGTGGTCATTTTATAATAAAGGGGTCAGTTCTTCAAATACATACGTGCTGAACACTGGAGCACCTAAATACAAAGAAAATACTAACGGAACTAAAGAAACAGATTTAATAACAGATTTCAATACCTCACTTCCAACACTGTATAGATCATCCAAACAGAAAATAAGTAAGGAAAACAGCAGACCTGAACAAGATCATCGGTCAAATATCTCATACATGTGAAAAGCTGACATCTTTTCCTCTAAAATCAGGAACAAGACAAGGATACCTACTCTCACCACTGCTATTCAGTATGGCAATGGAAATCCTACTAAGAGCAATTAGGCAAAAAAAAAAAAAAAAGTATCCAAATTGAGCAGGAAGAAGTAAAACTACCTGTGGATGACATGATCTATATACAGAAAAATCTAAAGAGTCTATCAAAAAAGTTTTAGAATAAATGAATTCAGTAAAGTGGCAAGTTACAAAAAGCAAAGATCAGCAGCATCACTAAACACTAAGAAAAACATTTTCTGAAAAATGAAGAAAAAAATCCATTTACAAAGTGTCAAAAAAAAAAAAAAAAACTTTGGAAAAATTTACCTAAAGAGATGAAGTTCTGCACACTGGAAACCATAAAACATTGATGAAAGACACTGAGAACAACATAAATAAATGAACAATAATTCTGTGTTCATGTACTGAAGCACCAATATTATTAAAATGTCCATCTCATTCAAAATGGCCTACAAATACAATATAATCCCTACCAAAATCCCAGTGGCATTTTTTAACAGAAATAGAAATAACAATCCTAAAATTCATATGGAAACACAAAAGTCACTGAATAGCCAAACCAATCTTGGGTATAGGCATCTCACTATGACTTCAAAATATACTATAAACCTGTGGTTATCAAAACAGCACAACACTGGCATATAAAACAGAAATACAGACAAATGGAACAGAACGGAAAACTCACAAATAAATCCACACATGTATAATTAATTGATTTTAGCAAAAGGTGCCAATGGGGAAACACAATAAGGAAAGTCCAGGCTCTTCAAAAATGTTGGGAAAACTGGCTATCCAAATACAA